TATGCTGATGCTTATGCACTGCATCTCAGAAGCAATTTTTTTTTTAAGAAGTAGATGTTTCACTTAACAATGCACTGGACGGTCTCATCCCTTTCTATAACCCTTTCACCAATCATCTCAGAGCTTACCCAGAATTCACTTCACTTTGAATTCATGATGGTCACCGCCAAATAGCCGGGACAGAATCAAAATAGTGATTTTTGCACATGTTAATATACATGCGCAGAAGATAATAACTCGCTTAAATCATGGAAAATCGATGTGCAGTTCTGGTTTATAATCGGAAATTGTTGTTCCGTGTACTGTATTTTATTTTTACAAACATGCTGATATTACGAGATATAGGTTATATTTGGATTGGTTGTGATTTGAAATCCCGTTTTCCCTAATTTCCTTTATAGTATTCCAGAGTTACAACGCACATGGCTTCTAATTGTTTTATAAGGTCATGGATGTATGCGAAAGTGTGCAAAACAGTAATAATACATTTAATATCACCAAAATCGTCTGCTTTTCAACTTTGCTGCTCCCCATTGGGAATGTTTTTATTAAAGACACACTCTTACAGAGCACATCATCCAAACAAAACCCAAGAGAGGGAAACTGCTCCTTTGTCAATGACCGAAAATGCTTACGCAGTCGTTATTGTTAAAACAGCTGAATGTACTCATTAATATGCACATAATCAGAAGGCGGTGACTATCATTGGATCAAACAAAGAATCACGTTGAATGTCCATCCGTAATAGGTCCATGCCAAGACTAAGGCGAAGGTGCGATCAAGGAATAGTATCCTCGGGAAGCTAATCAATATAAAGTGGGGCGCTCAGGCTAAGACAGTCCGTACTATACGGTGCGTCCCAGAAAAAAAACGAAACCGAGAATGATCGATGTTTTATTATAACTTAATAATTGATAAATGACACATATTTTTAAAGCTTAGATCCACCTCTTTCTTTTGATGCAACTCATATCATGCATGTTTCACGCATTAGTGATTAAAAAGTGGTATGTATCTTTGCCGAAGTCGACCACCTGTCACAATACGTAATACAATAGCAACATACAAGTTGCTATGTTAGACACATTCATAGTATCACCCGGAAGACAAAGGCAATAATGATGTATTGTACATATGTATGGAAGCATGCAATTATATTATGAATGTGGGCTAAGCTGGGGAAAACTACATACCATTGTCTATTCTAGAATATTTGTTTAGTCTGACATGTCTGACATAGCAACTTATATGTTGCTATTGTTTGTGGTATTGTAACAGGTAGTCAACTTTGGCAAAGTTACATGCCACTTTCTCAAGTTAGCTCATTCATGACTGACAGATGGTGTCACAAGGGGCATGAGATCTGGAGGATTTGGGGGTGGAGCTTAGCAAGTCTGAAAACACAATATTATTGCAAAAAATATTTTAAAATCTATGAAAAAGAATCATAAGTTTATATATCAAAATATGAGACGTATGCAGGACTGCATTCACGACTGACAGATGGTGTCACAAGGGGCATGAGATCTGGAGGTTTTGGGGGTGGAGCTTAGCAAGTCTGAAAAACACAATATTATTGCAAAAAAATATTTTAAAATCTATGAAAAAGAATCAGTAGTTTACATATCAAAATATGAGACGTATGCAGGACTGCACACCAACATGAATACACTTGTATTTCGATGTCACGGGCCCTTTAAAGAGATGGTTCATTGAAATCGTTCGTTGACAATCAGCCGTAGACGAAAGACTTCATGCATGGCTGATTGTCAACGAAACGGAGTTAAGTCTTTTGTCGATTCTGCTTCTGGCTACGGCAGGCAGCCATTGAAAACGAATTCGTTTCATAAAATTATGGAAATACAAGCACTACTTTAAATAAACAGAACTTTGTCATTTCCTGATCATTTTTCCTTATTGAGGTGTCATAAGAAAGGGCAGAAGCTCAACTTTCTAGAAATGTGATTTTCTCTTTTAAATTTAGATACCGTCCGCCAAATGACTTTTTGGCTTCCTCTCTTCAAATTCATTTTAATCACTCATGCATGCAATATACATCATATAGATTGCATTAAATTGAAGAGGAGGATCTAAGCTTTCCAAATATGTGTCATTTATTCATTATAAATGTGACTAAGTTATCATGAAACATCGATAATTATCGGTTCGTTTTCTTCTGAGACGCACTGTATGATCTCGCTATAAATCGCTAACGCTATAATGCTCTACTAGGTCCATGTAAATCTGGCATGGATACTGACAGCAGATTTCAAATCAGCACAAAAATATTTTCTATTTTGTCCAGATATTGAGTAGAGGTTAATTAAATGAAAGCTACATTAGTGTGGGTCCTGCAAAGGTCATTTGAACTGCTTGCTGACTTCAGCCACAATTCTAATTCAACTACATGTGTGTTACTGCATCACGTTCATGTACACACCTCACAACCATGCCTGCGTATGCACGTCATTGCCTCCTCTTATAGGCACACCCGAATTTGGACTGACAAAGGGGAAAGCTGGAGAAAACAAAATCTTCAAATCATACAATTCATCAGCTACATGTATACAAATCTGTATTGTGTTTGACTCTTAAGGCTAACCAAACACGACGGCCCGAATTCACAAAGCAAGGTTTGAGCTCAGACCAAGGTTTGAGCTCAAACCTCCTTTTGTTCTTTACAAACCAGGTTTGTAAAAAACGCGTAAAACGCGTCATATGACGTACGAAAACCAAGGTTTGTCGACAAACCTCCTTTGTGAATTCGGGCCGACAAGTTTAAATTGGGAACCTCTGTCCTATGGATGCACGTGCATGATGCATTCGTGTATGTATTTTTTGTGTTGAGATATGATACTAAGGAAAATACTGTTATTGTAAGTGTATGGTTTTAAAACTACATTCAAAAGTAAAATGTAGGCAAGTCTGACAAGCATGCTAATTCAATTCAAGAATATACGTGCATGTATAGACAGTAATTTAAGTAAAATTTGAAAAAATTTCTTTCAAAATTACCTTGAACTGGGTCTGCCTGTAGCCCTGAGCAGAACATTTAAAGAACAGATTGAAATGTAGATAATTCGTCATTAAGTCACCATAAGAATTTCTCTCTTACAATTTACATCAAGAAACGAACCCTTGCTTAAAAAAAGATTACTCTAAACGTTCATGCATTTGGAGGTAAATTTTCAAATCTGTCTTGCTTTTCATTTTGTGAAAAATTATGTTGAAATTGATTGAATGACGATTCCCTAATTCATTAATCCGTGTTTGGTATGTAAACACAGGCGCGTACGCAGGTGTGGGGGGGGGGGGTTGGGGTTGGAGTTAACCCCCCACCCTTCAGTTTGTGTATATGTATGTTTTTTGAGAACCTACCCCCCCCCCCCCCTTGAAAAAATCAATTACATATACTACTTCCTTGGAAAATACATTTCCAGTAATGGCCTTTACGTTATCATTATTAAAAGTGCATATTGTGACTGTAATGTAACTGTAAGCATTCATTACATTCATTTAAGGATCAGAATCGAATGTAACGGAACGATACTGTTGAGAAGCCAAAACACATTAAAAACTTGTAAAAGTGCAGAGGGAATCTTTTGAGATGTGGTTTGCTAAAAAGATTGAAGTTGAGAGAGATAGAGAGAATTGGGGAGGGGGCAGGGAACGTACACCATTCTTTAAAATATGGCAACCTATGAGGATGCATATTTAGTTTAATGGGCACATAAGGCGAAAAACTAATCATCAAATTATGTTATTTTCCTCTCACTCAGAATGGGCAGTTTTTTCAATCCCAAAAGGAAAAAGTGTCATCGCTCAAGGGTGTATGCTCTTTTCATCCCAGAAATAGGTTTTCGGTTATGTACCCTTATTTATGCGTGTAATACTAACGTTTTTTACTAAAATCTGGCAGAAATGGATTCTGGGGCCCGTTTCATAAAACTTGTTATCTGTAACAACTGCTAAATTTCTATGACAAATTTGCTCTCAGCTAATCACATGCCATGATTTCAGTAGCTTATAACAGTAGCTTGTAACTTGTTATTGATATCAAGTTTTATGAAACAGGGCCCAGACATTAGATTTTCAAAGCCATGTTGTTTCTAGGACAAATTAAATTGTACAGTAAATTTCACTTTTATTTGAGATCATACTTGTATGTAGAATTGAACACACAACCACACACACACATCCACAGTTGAAAATATGAATGCAATTAATGAATGAGCAAAGAAAATTGGCGGGGCTTTACAGCACGTTAAAAGTAAAACAAAGTTAAAGGAAATTTTGAAAATATGGTGGATAGTGATTCCTTACAATTTTTGATATATTTGGATGCCCATGTTGATGTATTATAAGCACTAAAAAAAATTGCCATTAAAATACTTCTGCTTTCGAGAAAAATTGAATATACAGATTTACCGGTGCTCCCGGTAAATTTTGTTAAATTTCAAATAGCGCTTACGGCCATACAATGCTAGCTGCGACCATAAACATCTCAGAGTATGTAGTTGTGATATATAATTTCCAAACGGAAATAGCTAATCGGTCGATTTTAGTCAAGAAACATTGTTTTATAGCTTAATTATTACTTTGACCTTGAGAGGGAGCTTAACAAAATGAAGAGTTTAATATTTACAATTTCATAACTTTAGACTAGATTTCGACCGCGACAACGATCACTGAATATTGTAGGATCGTATATGCTTCCAATATGTTCATTTGAACCAAATTCATGACCCCAAACCAAAACTTTGTATTACCTTTAACACAGAACACCTTAACGAGAGGGCACATGGCCTCGGAATCTTTTTTTAAATGCATTTACGTATCACTAGACAGTGTACAAATATTTTTTTAAAGAAAATAAATAATTGAAAAAGATCAAACTAATACCGGAAATATGTTATAGATGTATATCATGCATTTCGTACTGTATCAAAAAGTCAATTACAGCTTCAAGTACATGTACATGTATAAGCACTATCACTTACTGGTTGGGTCAAAACTTCTTGGTAGACTTGTCACATTTCCAAGATAATTCCCTGCTACGCAAGTAAACTCTGTATAGAGGTCGAATTCTGATTCTGGAACAACCACAAAGTTGACACCCGTTGAGGATTGATGTATCAGAGTATCATTGGAGAGTATATAAAAGTTCCTCGTGCTTGGCACAGGTTGGTCTGCAACATCAATGTCACATGACACTCTGAGGCCTGGATCAAGGAACTGGAATCCAACCGTTAAAATACCAGCACTGGGCTCACCTGAATTAAAGTAAACATGGAACATTAAATTATGCACTGATGAGATAACTATAATTATTCACAATTATTTAGAAAAATGTATCCATTCGGAGAGCGACTGTAAAAATTTAAAATTTGCTCCTTCACATAAAACAAATTTTAAGAATAGTTCACCGAAAAATGTATACTTAAGCCAACAATCTATCTTTTAGCTTGCTGCCTTTACAATGTCCAATGTTATCACCACATATGTGGGGATATATATTTGAGGTTTGGGAAAGAGAGGGTAGAGTAGTGAAAGAAATACATCTGAACTTGTTCAATCTTGTCAATATTACATTGAAACTTAAATTGTTAGAGGTACACAATCTGTTGCACGGCAATTGGCTATTAAAAATAAAGTTTCCTAAATTGATGAATAAATCCAAGTTATACTGAGAAGAATTATTAACATTGTCGTGTGGAGCAAAAAGGTCTTAACATTTAACATTATATATCGAATGAACATTCTTCTGGCTCCAAACAGACAATACTGGTACATGTATGTAAGAGTAATCGTTTCTATAAATTACTACAAACAATTTTGCTATAGTTTATCTCAATTTTATTTCAATAGTTTATTATTCTGTTCAGTAACAAATTTCAACTAGAAATGCAATCGTGTCACAACGATATGCGTGCAATGACGCCGTGTTTCTACGTGTCGAACGAAAGAGCTTCTCTCGGACTATCCAGAGCAATTTGTACGAAGTCTTTAGCTTCTGTAATATTGGAGACAGGTAGGGCGAAAGAAAGGCCTCAATAGTGACCTTGATGGGATGGTAGTGACTATGCCTACGATGTTTGAAAGAAATTGGGATAGGGGAAAGAACCTAGAAAGGGCTCGCAAGCACTACGTGCAAAAACAAATGGGATTAGTTGCATGTTCGTCATTGCAATCAAGATCGTTCTAGGGGTCAAAAGCGTGAACCCGATTTGCCCCCATAGACAATGCGTGTAATGCATGGGCGGAAAACGTACAGGATCTGTATTATGACCGGAGTTAAATTGTTTTTTCTCTCTCTCTTTATGTCTCTTTATGGGCCGTATATGGTATCATTGGAAAGAGAATTTCATGGTCGTTATTGTAAACTACTCTCTTTTTTTATATGATAATCCTATCGAAACATGTGATGTAAAATAGATTTAAAGGACAAAATGGCGTCTTAAATGGCCCCCTTGACCAATTTCAAAAATCCGGCCAAGAGGTGCCCTGCGTATTGCATCTCGGAATGTCATTGCAAATTTTCAAGGAAAAAAAAGGATGTTTAGGGGGCGAAAAGTAGTCTGAAAAAATGACGTCATGGCCGATAAGTGTTATAATCGGGCGGAATTCGTATAGTGACCCTTGTTCAAATGCGATTTACTCACAATTTTCTGTGTAAACATATACCATACTTGGTATCATTTGAAAGGGCACTTCATTGCGGTCAGTTTGACACCATTGTCATCTGCACGCAATGTACTGCACGCATTAAAGGCGCTATTACGTAATGCATAGCAAATTCATCATTTTTGGCGATAACTTTGCAACGAGGGCATTACAATTTATTAAACTTGGCAGACAGTTGTCACGTATATGGATACATATGTGTGCCAAGTTTCATTGGTGTAGGTATAAAGATCGCCATTTTAGAGCAAGTTTAAGTTATTTTTGAATTTTCTTGAAAATGGCGAATTTGGAGGGCATTTTTCTCAAAGTCAGTCAGTGTAAGGGTATATAATTTTGTATATGGCTGGAAAGGGCATATCTTCAAGTATCTAAATCCAAAAAAGGGTACGGATTTGCCAAGCCATAATGGAGATACGGCCATAGAAAGAAAGCCAATTCCCAGAACTTTAGAGGGCGCTATTTATGTTTTGCAAAGCCATTAGAGCGTGAAATTTGGCATGGCTATGTGCAATTATGAGATAAAGATACTGTGAGATTTAAATACAAAACGGAATTTATATGAGAAAGTTATGGCAGTTTTAGATTTTTAGGGGTTCATTTTTCAAGAATTTGAGAGATTTTTGACGGAGTCAGTTTCAGATTTAAATTTTGAGTACGAAGATGGCATTTTGAAGGTCAAGTCATATGTCGCAGATGAAAGAACATCTCTTTGATTTTCTAGAGGAATTTGTTAGAAGTTTGTAGGATCTAGGATAGTGGAGATAGGAAGGAAGAAAGAAAGGCCTTAAAATGGACCAGAAACGGACAAAATGGCGCCTGGACGGTCATGCATGACTGATTTCGAAAATCGAAAAAGTAGGTGACCTTGATGAGATGCTAGAGATGATGCCTATGAAATTCGAAAGGAAAAGAACATAAGGAAAGCACCGAACGAGGAATCACAAGCACCATGTGTAAAACGAATGCGATTTTCTGACGAGGAATATAATTATAAGGAGGAGAAGATTAATGGGGCAGAATGTGAACGAAAACAAGGCAATGACGAAGGTTCGTCATTGCAAATATGCAAAGTGTTATCATAAACAGTGTTAAGTCACTAAACTTACTATGCATAGGAAGAGTAATTGTTTCTTCTCCATTGAGGTCAGGTACTAGATGACCGCTGATGACACATTTCACTGTTTGACCATTATTGTTCTGACTGGTAGCTTGAAATGTGCAGACACTCTCCTTACTAGATAGACCTGATCCAGCTGGAATAGGCGTTTCTACTGGATTATCACAAGGTGAAGGACCATCATCTAACATCCATGTGATTGTTTCATCTGGTCTACCTCCTACAGCTTCACATGTTGCTACGTACATGTCACTGTTGTTCTCTGTTGTACTTTCTACTGACAGTGACCGTGTCGATTCGACTGCAAATCAAAAGAATGAACACAATTTAAAGGTGTTATAAGTAACAAATTTGGAACATTACTAAATCGTGACGATGAAATTTAAAGGCCTTTACCTATCATTGAATTGTGTTAATAAATCTGACTTGAAAATGCTACAAAACAGGTGAAGATGTGCACCCCAATCCCCATGTGTACTTCAGGGTAAATTACTCCCACCCCCCCCCCCCCCCCCCTCTAACCCATTGTGTAATGACAACTTCGGTGATAATAAAACATAAATGTATTGATCTAGCCATCTCTTAAAGGTACTATGTCCCTTTTGCAGCCAACCTCAAATGCTGTAGAACATTGCAGGAATTATGAATATGTCATGTATGTCCTATCTGTGAAATTTAAACGTTAGCAGTGTCCTCATATTCAAATTATGCAAGGAAACCCGTTTACTTGCTAGACTTCACTGTCAGACACTATTGAGTGACTGACTGGCTTTTTTTCTTCTTTGGTAATAACATACATGAAAAGAGTTGTAAAGGGTACATGAGCATTTGTCTACATCAATAACCCACTTCTTGTGATGGCCAAGATTAAACTGATTGAATCTTTGCGCAGCATAAAACGTAAGACCATTCGGTACAATTGTCTGAAAATCAAGACTATTACTTTTGGGCTCTAAAGCCCTAAAGTCGATTTGACAACTAATAGTCGTTATTTTCCCACTTGAAGACATTTTCAAGCCTCACCTTTTTTAGGGCAGTTCTAAATTAGTATTATCTTTCAAATGCAGTTGGAATTTAACTTTTTCATTTTTTTGGCCTGCAAATGGGACATAGTACCTTTAACATGTAGACATGCTTAGACTTTTCTAGACTATTTCCCTAGGAGAAGGGATGTAGATACTTGAAATATAAGGCTACTATAAAAACCAAACACTTTTGCGAGTTCTGAATGACAAGACATTTTCATGGCAAGAATTTGTTTGCGCATCGCAAACTTTTAGTCTTAGATTTACTGTGATTCAACTAATTCGCAACATGAAACTTTCCCGAAATGAACCACTTATGAAATTTACAAACTTTTCATCGTATCATGCACAAGAATGTTTTCTGGTTTTAAGTAGTTTCGCATAGTTGGTACGTAACGCAACATATCCATGCTGTTTGTAGGCACTGTGACTGCACAAATTTGGTATAGCAAAATAGATTTGAGTGAAGCTATACAAGTATGCCATTTGTAAAGAGATATGTAGGATCTCAAAAATATTGATAATCTCAGTTTCTTTCTCTTGGTTATAGGCCTAAAATAATAACATATCTCAAAATGAATCACCAAGTATGCGGACTTGTTTTACTAATATGGCTGTCGCTGCTAACAATCTGCTTTGATGATGGTTACACGTACATTTATGTATCACACATGTAGGCCTTCAATGTACATGTATATGCTCACCCTGGTAAAATAGTAGAATATTTGTTTTGTTTTGTTCCTTTTCTTTTGTGCCTGATTGCGAAACGAATGCGGCTAATTAGTGCCTGCACATGAATTATGCATTAGTCATTGAGATTTGTACATGTACAGTGATGTAGCCAAAAACTCTGAATGAAGAGTGACATACATCGCAGAGACAGAAAATAGGATTGTATTATCATGGCGTACATTATACACTCCAATTTAAACTAACAGATGTTTTCTTATAACTCTTATGCCATGGAAACTATATTAACATTCAGTAAAACAGATTGTTCAAAGATTTGTATGACCCACCTTCTACTGTAAGTTCTGCCTCATCAAAGTTTCCTGCTCCTTCAGTACATCTATATTGTCCTTCATCTTCAATCAGAGTAGAAGTGATTGTCATAGTGGATGTATCCCCATTTTCTGCTACATCAAAATTGATATATTTTGGCAATACCAAGGGATCGTAAGCCACTTCCCCGGCAAGGAAGATATTAAGACCTGTACCCAATGAAAAGTCTTGCCATAAAAACACATATGGCGATGGTCCTCCAGTACAGGTGTAAACTGTATCAGTCCTTTGCTCTATTGCACCGGCAGGAGGACCTGTCAGAGTCACGGTTTGGCCGTTCGAGAATTCTGTGATCTGAAGGAATAAAGATAGGTTATTGAAATATTCGTTACTAAAGGGGTGATTTAATGCAGCAAACCAGTTTCACATGCAGGTTTCGGAAAGCGAAGAAGATTTAAAATTATGCCCCTTCTGAATTCATAATTTCGTTGGAAACTCCTACTATTAAATGAGGTTACCAGAATGGTTTCACATTTCATTGTTCATAAAAATTGAATTTTCGTTATAACTATCAACTCTTGCATAGATGATGTGAGCTGAAATGACTATTTTCACTTCAAATCACGTTAATTTGTTTTTCTTGTTTTACGTCATTACCGCTTATAGTTTCCAAAGAACCAATATTTGAATATGTTAATTTAATAAAGAAGACGTTTGCTCATGAATTCCATTTATTTACAAAGAGTCCATTTATATTCTGTTTTACCCTTTGAATAACCTGCCGGGAGACTTTCGAACAGAAAAAATATATATCTTGGCAGTATTGTGCGAGTTTTGTTTTGTTTCCTAGAGGATTAATGTCTCCTGCTCAATCTTCTAATTTGAGCAGAAGAATAATCATAGTAACACTTACTTTGTTATGGAACTTATTATTTTGTTTTACTCATCAAAACGCACTACATAAGGTATCAAAATTAATTACTGATGTGGAAATATCACTGCCCGTATAAAGGCAACGAGGTGTCCGAACGTGAGGTGCCAGTTATATTACACGAATATTGGTATTTTACAAATCTTATCGGGACTGCATGCAGCCCCTCCCAGCCACCTCCTCATACGTCAATGTTAATACTTTATTTATCTGTTTTATGATTATAAGACTTCACAAGAAAAAAATAGACAAATAATGACTCGGTTTTCTCCTTAAAGTTACTTAGTTATGTTTTATTGTAAGCACTTTCAGAGTAATTTTGTGATGACATTTAAAACGTTTATATAAGCGCCTTGAGCACCACCTGGTGGATACGTGTGATGTCCTATTCAATTCCTACATTTTCTACAATGAAAATTCCAATTTTGGCAAGACATTAATCCACGTTTGCCACACGCCACCCAGTGAGATTAAATGGGTACCTGGCAGGAATTAGTTCCTTAAAATGTGCGAGCGCTGTATTATGGCAGCCGTGTGAAAGCCTGGGTAATAATAACGGAGCGCCATAGTATGGCATTGTGCCAGAAGTGAGCGCTATGAAACCATACATACTCTGTATGCATGTGTCTATAGTTGATTGGTAATAATATTTTGTATTGTTTTCAAATCGCAATTTCGCAAACAACTTACCAGCATTAAAAATCCAATAAAGTGCAAAATGGCTCTCATAAGTTGGATATCCATTTTAGAGCTGGCTAGTCGACTTCTGCAAATGACCAATCATACGATTTGTTTGTTAGGTGGGTTAATAAGACAGGAATGTAAACGAAGTGCTCAGACGTTCATTAGCCTATAAAGCTAAAGTGGAAGTTCAATACAATCAAGACCCGCACTGAAAGTTAATCAACATCCAAATGTTATAGGGCCTTCTTGAGGTGTCGTGGTCGAGTGGATAGGTCACCGGACTGTCGATCACAAGGTCCGCGGTTCGAGTCCCGCCGCGGCACTAATGTCCTTTGGCAAGACATTGATCTACATTTGCCACACTCAACCAAGGTGATGTAATTGGGTACCTGGTAGTAATTTATTCCTTGAAATTACAGAGCGCGTGACAGCTGCTCTGCTAAAGCCAGGGTAATTATGCTGCATTATTGTAGAGCGCTTAGAGACTTCTGATAAAGTAAATGTTAGGCGCTATATATTAAGCAAATACAATTATTATAGGTCTATATATAATGTAATGTAAACTATAACTGAAAAATATAATGTTGGACCCAACATCAACCATCTGAATCTGTATGGCTGCTTCATTTTGTTAAAGAAATCACTGTAATGTTTCCGTTTTAGACATGTTTTGTTTTCTCTTATAGAAGAATTTACTATCAATTATAAAGAAAAAATTATGCGTTATCGATTCAGAGTCCAAAGAGTTACAAAATGTTTGATTTGATGGATTGAAATTATTTTAGCTATGTTTACTCACCTGTAGCCTGTCTTGAGCTTACACAAACGGATCACAGCAACATAGGTTTATTATTCACTTCAACGGATATACTCGATGCTTGCTGGAGATATGTTACATTCTGGACAGCCAACTGCCTTATCTACCAATGCTGCTGAGCGTACATGCCGCGGAAGCAGACCGATACTGTTTGAGGATGTATTAACACTGAGGGCGGTATAGAGCTATACTTTTTCAATAACTACACATTATAGAATGAAGGAATCATGGTAATAACAGGCCTACTGATGTGACTACTTTGGGTAAATAAGACCGTTGATGTTGAGCAACAGTATATAAAACTGATTTTCTTTTTTTTACCGCTCTTCTCTCGTGGACTAAATCAATTACCTCCTTCATAAATGATAGAGGCTAATTTAAGTTCATGAATTTTACATAAATAATCCGATGTAAATACCTAATCCACATAACTCATTTCCTAAAATATTGCCAGTCCGACTATAGCTGTCGGGTGAAGCACTCAGAGCCCCCTTGACAGATCGCAAAGCAGGGTCGATTTCACCTCAACTACCCCATGCACCAAACTTTGTTAGTAGGACGTACTGTAACTTGTCATTACTCAACCAATTTTGGCAAATGTGGTATCATTTTTCTTATAAAAACATTCCCCTTCTCCTGGAACCAATCATATTTGCCCCAAATTATGACTAGTAAGCGTTTTCTTTTATGGATCACCCTGAGTAGCAGTGTAGGTCCGTTCTTTAGGTACATGATTGGGTTGGGGGAGGGGTTGTGCACCCGAGATTAGATGGAACGCGAGTAGAACGAGGTTGTATTATCTTCTTTCACGTTGCTCTCGCTTGTTCATTTTTGGAAGAGAAAGAATCTTTCCTACATCTCTCTTTTTCTTGATTTCACCATTTGACGGGACAGACCAAAAACTGCTGAACGGTGTATTATTGTAAAATAATACAAATAAATTATAAAATGTTGAAGTAGATATTCATTGATTTTAAAAACTAAAAACTAACTTTATTTTCATTATTGCAAAGTTGAAACCTTGATTCGACAAGGTTTTCAATGCTTGGAAACATTCGAAGTAATGATTATTATAAATTACAAAACGCTTAAATACAGCCCCGGCATAGCACCTGAAGAGCTCTCCGAACGCTGCTGAGATGTGTGAGATCACAGTATGGACATGATTTGCACAAGCAGACGATGTTCCATGACATCTCACACATTTCTCTTACTTCACTACCGTCAGGCTAAATGTATATATATATTGCCTCACTCTAAACCCCGCGCATGGTTTTATTTTGATGACAAATGCAGCGATACAAAAATAAAGGAATCTGTCGCTTGTAAACAAAATAACACGCCATTGTATATTCAGCTGCACACACCGCGGTATGTTTGGCGTTTCAAGAGGGAACAAATGCCGTCCTTAATATCATTCCGGGTTTTTTTCAATTTGAAAGTCTGATTTCCTTGATTGTTAATTAACCCCTATCCTGTGTATTTTCAAGCAAAAGACTGTAGTTATCACAATCGGGTCATATCCCATTTTGAATGGTTTGACATGCCATTATATTTATATAAAGTCATTATAATTTGACAAATAATAGCTTTGCAATTATGTTCATTCTTTACGGGATGTCGTCTGCTTGGGCAGTATCGGTACATATTGTGACGACATTAAAACATCGTTATTTTTCTGGCGAATCTCTCAGCTGCTATGGAGGTGGTTATATATTTTTTTTTTATAAATCACCCGATATGTAGTTGACCTAAAACTTGTACGATGGCCATCTGTTAGCTTACCAGTTTCTAGTGATACATTAGTTGACATATTTGTGATTTTCTTTGAATTTCACCTTTAATATAGAATTAAACAACTCCCTCATCGCTCGTCCGACTCTCTTTCTCTCTCTCTTCCATTCCGTTTATAACTTTTTTTGTTCTTCTTGATAGGGCCTCTTCCATTATATTCATGCCTCTTACCGCGTTTCAAATGTTCTCCTGTGTAGTGCGGGATTATGATAAACCAGCTTTTTGTAAGCTCCTACATAAATTCCATATGCCCTCATTCTTATTCAGGTTATGTATTCAACTTGTATCAATTAGTGTGCATTTTGTGTTACGTTATCCATAAAATAAGTATGTAAAGACAATAACCCTTTTTTTTCCTTCTTTTTTGTAAAATGAATTTATTGATAAATATATGCTTTTGAACAAATCAAATAATCATACACAATCAATTGAAATAACATCGTAGCATCTTAACATAGTTCAAATAAAACATGTTTCGTTTTCTTGAATAACAGTGTTTTCAAAAATGCATAGCTTTTTTGTTTTACAGTTCCTTTCGATATTTAATCGGTTGTGGATTAATCTTTTGAAAATACAAAGAATAGAGTCTTCATGAAACATGGGTTTGCGATTTTCTGCTTGCATAAATGTCCAATAAACTGCGTATTTTGCATATATGATAAGAAAATTTAAACTTTTAAATATTTTGTATTTCAAGTTATAACCTTCGATTAAAACGAACTTGTCAAAAGAAAAATTAACATTGTAAAGTTTTCGAATCATGTCTCCAAATTTTAACCAAAACAATCTTGTGTGCTTGCATTTTACAAATAAATGGAGATTGTCGTGTAACTGATCATCATATAAATATAAGGGATTGTTACACAATTTCCATTTGAATAAATTATACCTATTTGGTAATAAGTTGTGTAATAACTTAACATTGAATTCTGATATTTTGTTTTCTTTCATCATAGCTTGTAAATTAAATGACCATATGACTTTTCCAGACAATTTGTTCTGTACTATTTAACATTTCCTCCCATTTCTCTTTGATTTGAGGTCTAACAATTGAATGAATAGACAACGTAGAGTAAAAATACTTCGACTGTCGTTTAGTGTTAACATTCATTAAAACATTTTTCATAACACCTTCATTTTCTTCTTGTTTCGCGTCATATACATGTACCTGTCTTAACATATTCTGTTTCCAAACTTTGGGAATCTCATTTACTATGATGTAATATTCTTGAAGCAAAGAAGCATGTTTTTTCTCAAGTCTTTCTTCAATTTCTCTCAAAGACATAAATCTAGAGTTTGTTACGACATCATTAATTTTCAAAAGGCCTACATCGAACCATTTTCTAATAAATAATACATTTTTGTTATGATCTCTTATATTTGAGTTAAACCATATGTTTTCACTTCGAACATTAGTACATTGTAAATCAATTGGCGTCTTACTTTCTACTATCTTTTTAAAGTCAAACCAAGTATATACCATATTCTTGTAATATTAGGGCATTTTTATATTCTTTAAACAAAACTTCATATCATCTTTTGTACATTTACTATTTAACAAATATTGTAAATTGCCCACTTTTTTATAGAAACCATCAATTATCTTTTTCCACTTTGAGTTTTCGTGGGAGAAGTAGTGCAATATCCACTTTAATATAAAACTTTGTAACAGAACATTCAAATCAACCATTTTTAATAACCCTTGATTATTTAAAAACAGACCAATGAAACCTAAATAGAATCATCTCATTTATCGGATTTAGTTATCTCAATAACTGCCAATTACACGTTTGGCATCAGCAATATCTTATTCAATAAATCTTAAATAATTATGCTAGACTTTTGATAGCCCTAGTCAGTAAAATGATACTACTATTAAGTGAGTAGTACGTTTTAAATGTAAAGATGAAGGTTCAAACTAGTATAGTATAGTGTGATGTAAAGGATGACCGAAAAAGAAAGAGGAGGGGCGAATAGTGGAGAGAGATAGTGATAGATGGATTGAGAGAGAGGGGGGGAAGAAAGGTAGACGGGAAACAGAGGAAAAGAGAGGGAGAGAGAGAGAGAGAGAGATAGAGAGGGGGGTTGATGACATGAAAAAAGAAAGGAGAGGTAAGTGGTCATCCACATACAACAATACTATGAAATAACACAAACATTGGCAAACGTTGCAAGGTTAATTAGAAGAAGAAGAAAAATCGACAAGAAATCATGAGAATGTGCTGCTGTATGTTTGAGATCGGTAACTATAACCTTGATATTCGCAAATTTCATGTCTTCTAGAATAGCTGCACCTCTAGACATTGTAAACTTATCCTTTTTAAGTAACTATTTTACAAATCTCTACCAAATGATCTTGAAAGAAAAAATAATTTTCAAACAGACATATACTTGATGCGATCTAGCCTGATTCATCATTCTTGGCTAAGTTTAATACTAGTTAGTCCCTCTAATGTCCCTATACTATCTCCATAGTCCCAGTCAGCTCGGATCCAACCATTGTACAGTGTACAAGATGTAAATGTATTGTAGGACCGCTGCACATCCGAACAAGTCAATTTCACATATCCAGTGTAGACGCATACAATCCTTCATCCAAGTCATTGAGAGACAGGTAATTCTATGAAAATTAAAAGTAATTAAGATAATAGTAATATTTAATAATTATTATTATTATTGCATTTAAATCGCGTCCATTTTCCCATCAGGGGACGCTCAAGATGCGTACAAGGTAGAAAGTGTATTACTACACGAGCTTTAGCCCAGCTGTTTTTTATACGTTGAAAGAATTTAAGGAATAAAGTACAGCTGCTACAAGGACTCTCACATTGTAGTTTCTATGATGAAAAATAAGAAGAAAAAAATCCAAACGGGATTTTTTTTTCTTCTTCATAATTCTATTGAAAATATATTTTAAAAAAGGATTATATTTATACAGTATATATATTAAATAATATAGATGAATATGAAACATACGAATATGAATGTGAAGGAAATGGTAAATGAATAAATTAATGGTGTAATAAAAAAAAATCTAAGTAAAAGAAGCTTTAAAGATCATTACTGGGTTAGGATTTAAGGTCATTTTCATAATACTTGTTGGACCGAAGTTAATATAGTAGCAGAGTTATATAAATTAATATGTAATAAATAAACTTAATTCTGCATTAGACATGTAAGAAGAGGGTAATTTAAGTACATCTTACGTGAGTCTTTTTTAGAATCCTTTCCAAACTCTTGAGGATCTGATCAAAGTTACTCCGATTTGTAGCTTCCTTCTCCCAACAACCTGACATGACCGAATACCTGAAAAATATGAAAGAGACGATCCTTATCTAATATAAATTTAATAAAAAATACCTAAATGAATCTAATACAAAGACAAATACAAAATTCCGACAAATTCAAAGTTCATGTGCAACAGCAGTTTCATCACTATTGTTTCATTATTTTATGTGCGCAACCAGTCCGAGTCGTTTTACTACACCTTATTGTTTTTATCATTCTATCACTTTCTCTTTGTGTCTTTCCTTATGTTATTCTTTGTTTCTTTCTTCAATCACCTTCTCTTATGTTATTCTTTGTTTTTTATCCTTCTTTCACTTTCTCTTTCTGTCTTTCCTTATGTTATTCTTTGTATCTTCCTATATCACCTTCTCTCATGTTATTCTTTGTTTTTATCCTATCACTTTGTTTCTACCATTCTTTATTTTATTCTTTGTTTTTTTCCTATCACTTTGTTCCTACCATTCTTTATGTTATTCTTTGTTTTTCCTTCTATCACCTTATCTTATGTTATTCATGGTTTTTATCATTCTATCATTTCTCTGTTGAGTGTTTAGACGTATTATTTTCAGCTTCAGAATCAGATTCAAAGGAAAGATTGCAGAATCAAGTGTAATCGTGTTTCTTATTGTTTGGAAACATATCTGCATTTGATACAAAACATCATCATGAAATATAGGAAATATAAATATTGCATCGAGTGAGTCAAATTATGACATTTACAGAACAATTCGCTTGAAAGAGTAATATTTACACTTCTTGTCCACAATGGCGAGGGCGTGGCATCTGGTAACCATTGGCAACCTCTTTTTGGACAGTGTCAAAGGTCATTTTAGGGTATGGCCTCGCCCCTGAAAGAATCGAAGAAAAATAATTAAAGAAATAAAACATTTGTTTCAATAAACGAATATTTGACATCCAAAGCTGTGGAGAGAAATGATATGTATCTATCATATATATATATATACAATTTTTCATCGACCCTTGATAGTACAAGCGGAATGAAAGTTGACAAATTTAGACTAAATTTTATTCATATCTGCAACCTGTATTTGAATAATAATAAATAAAATAAAAAATCGTAAATATTATTGGTGAGTCGTATAGAGTGGAATAAGTGGCTTGAATTCTTCACCTCTACAATGCATCATACAAGTATTAGTCATGGTCTATCTTTATCATTTAAGTGCAAGAATTTACTTCACTTTTCTTTATAACACCATATGATACACGTGAAGTGGAGAGGTCGTGGTATAGTGTCTCGTTCTCTTGACTCTAAATCCGAGGTTTAAGGGTTTGAATCCCAACTCGGCACTTACTTCCTTTGGCAAGACATTAATTCATATTTGCCACCTCCACCCACTCCACCCCACCTGGGAATAATATTGCAAGGGTAATAATAATTGCAGGGCCCTGATGAAGAACAGCTGTAACGCTTAAAAGGGCTTCTTACGTGAATGACTTTAGGGTCTTTGAGATGGTACACAAAATTATATGCGATAATAACTTTATTTTTTTACCTAATGTCACAATTTCCCACAAGACGATACCAAAAGACCAGCTATCTCCTTCTGTTGATGGGTCACCAGTAACCATGGTTTCAGGCGAACTCCATCGTGTTGGTTTCTGAGATGTTGAAAATATTTAAAAAAAGGTTTACAATTGTGTTTTGAATTAAAATTTATAACCATTTGTTCATGGTTTAAAACAAATCATAATTAACAGCCAATGGCTGAATTGTTGACAATTTACAAGCAGATTTGAAAATGCATAATAAAACAATATTGCATATGTCCAAAATTATACAAACACCACGGTCAGTAAAATTGCTGATCGGGGTGAATAAATATACCATTATGGGCTAAATCATTTACGTGATTAATCATGAAACACATAATTCCATGATCACTTTTTAGTAGTTTCAAGATTTCTCGATATATTCTGTCGATTAAATATATTGTGGTCATAATTAAAGATGTGCCATCCATATCTATACTGATGATAATTATAATCATTAAAAAAGTTGATATACTCACACCTCTGCCGCTAAACGTTGATGAAGATAGTCCACAATCTGATAGCTTGCATTGCTTTCTATCAGCTAGTAACACATTGTGAGCGCAGAGAGTTTCATGGATGATCTTTGTAAACAAAAAAAGAGATGAAATAATGACAACAATAAATAAATAAATAAATAAAAACTACAATAACATAATCTGGATGTTTTTAATTCACCTTTGATCACCATAACCAACCTCGTACAATACTGGCTTCCTCCTCTCCTATTCTTCCACTTTCTTCTTCCGCTTTTTTAATTCTCATCCTTCTTGTATCCTCTCTGTCCTCTCCCCCTCCCTTCCCCCTTTCCTTTGTTAATTCTCTTCTATTGCAAGTCATGAAATCAGGTTACCTTCTTTGATGCAAGATACTGCATCCCTTTTGCAATTTGCCAAGCCAGGTTGAGTAGACTACCTTCATCGATGCGAACCCTCTCTGGTTTGAGATTGCCGTATGTGGGTTGGGATTGCACCCCTGTGGTCTGTAGATGGGTGAGTAGGGTACCTCCAGAGATGAACTCATACAGAATGCTACCTGCATTATGGGAAATTTGTTCATTTAAAGAAATAATGTATGAAACTGATATATAACATTATGTTTCATTAGACATCATGTTATATAATATTCAGCTTCTATAATTCAAATGTCTCTAAGCGCTTTACAGATATACCATTACCCCGGTCATTAGATTTCATACTTGCCGCACACATTGTGTGCACAATCTCCACTCTATGTTCAGGAAAATCCTCTACATTAATCATTAATTTTACTGGACTGTGTATAACTCTTATTCAACTGATTGCGAGAATTGCTCTAAACGTCACGCCCTTCTAAGTTAGCTATAGTGACTTTTTCAAAGGTCGTTCGAAATAATTCGGACAAAAATGCTAATGATCATATTAATATGTATTAAATTGAGCAGACCAAAAAAAAGAAATGTAATTGCGGGAGGAGGTGTTTTTACCTTGTTCTTGACAATATCCCATGCACTTGACAACATTCGGGTGATCCGGTAGCTCAGAAAGGACCTTGACAGCTTCAGAAACGTTCTTTGATTTGGTCACTTGATCTAAGAAAAGATACATCCTATATATAAATACCACATTTGCTTTCAATTTCGAAGGGAGTGGTGGGTTAAAGTCGTTGCAGAACAAGTTAATCATTCATTTGTTATTAAGATCGAGTGAAAACAGTGCAGACAAGTGAATACAATATATTTATACTTATACATATATATATATTTATATTTATAAATTCAAAACATAAATATAAATAAATATATATATTTATTCATATATATATACACACATAATACATGGTGTACTTTTAAACCGATGTGTTACTTTGTACGTTTGTTTTGGTCCTACTAAAATAAAAACTTTCTAGAAAGCTGAGGGCATCTCTGCTTATCAATAATAACACAACATCTGGTAATGTTCCAAGTTATTTTTGGCTACATTGATATTCATTAAAGCGATTTGCCTGTCAGTCTTTAAAACTCGTTATTTTGTTATAGGGTGTGGTTGGCAACACCCCACCTGGAATCTGCCTGATATCGACGTCTACTTGACTTTGTTTAGAGCGGAGTTCTCCCTTCCATACCCCGCCGAAGTCAACCCGTCCGATCGAACCGAGTCTGGTAAAGAACGTCATGTTTTCAGGAGCAATGATGGGAGAGTGGGATGGACCGAGTTTGAGGGATGTGTATGCTATAAAACATAAATAAATATTATAACGAGGCTTCTAATACTTGAATGATTAAACACGTATAATATTTCCCTGAATACTTTTCGCACATTCGGGGAACTGGGCTAAAGCCAGAGTAATAATAGAACTTTGTAGGCGCCTTGAGCATCCCCTGGATAAAAACGTGCGTTTCTATGATTATGAGAGCTTTTTCTATGTTTTTTTTCCCACGTACAAAGCCATAAGTATCTTTACTTATTTTTGTTAATTTTTGATAATTTTACTTCATGATTTTTCTTTGTAGCATTCTTCATTATAAACATTGGGATGATTTTACACATTTTCTCACCTTTATCTCCGTTCTGAATCATTTCATACGCCATGCTGTCGTTTGCCTCATGAGATACGTGTCGTTCTTCTCTGTGAAAAACAAATAGTGAGATGTTTCTTAAAAAGGCATTTATATAGATATTGTCCTGTTTATTGTACAGCGCCATCTCATAGCCATCTGACAGTACTAATTTCAAAATAGTCGAAATCATGTATCAGAGCAGTTTTGTTCGGTGTATGTATTATATGGCTAATCATTTTCAGTTGAGAGTTTAATAGAAGTACAAACTCGAGTTTCACTTTACTTTTTAACATATCTGACATGTAAACATATAATAAATGATATCACCCATACTTGTGTTGGCTTCTCATATTTCACTTCATCCGAATATTGGTGTATATGTGTGTGATGATGGTGGGTATTTGAATATATACCTGTGTGTCAGGCGCGGATCCAGGATTTCTTAGGGGTGGGGGCCCAAATTTGAAATCAATTTGAAATTTATTGTGCTGAAATATGAAAATCGTGCCGCCGGCCAATATTTCGCTCAGTGGGAGGGGGAGGAGGGGGGGGGGGGTAGTGAGCCCTTTTTTCTTTTTTGGCCCTCGAAAATTTTAAAAATTGCCCCCCCCCCCCTTGAGCGCCAGGGGGGGGGGCATCTAAAAAAAAAGTAAAATTAACGTTCAAAAATGTAAAATGTAAAATGGATCCGCCACTGCAGTGTGTGTACTGATGTGCACATATGAGTCCTCGATTAAAACCAGAAATGTGTAGGTGTGTGCATGCGTGAGCGTGGGCGCCCACCCATACGCACGCATGTGTTTGTGTGGTCGATATCAATATATATATATATATATATATATATTCTGATCAATATTACGAACTGCTATGTACCAACCTTGAATTGGTTTTCTGTGACTCTTCAAAACATGTAAAAAGAAACAGAAAAGGAAGAAGCAAATATAGAAATCTTGATAAATTTTCTGTGCACAAAAGAGGTATATCGCACAATTATCAACAAGGAAGTAAACTTTAGTCTCAAGTAGATGAGCATTATCCTGAGGTATTGATATGGAATGGGTCAATACATTCAGGAGATGATAGATACATTATCACAAAAAAAACACTTCTCTATCAATTTTCAGTATTATGTTCAATATTAAGTTAATGAAGAGTAAATACAAGCAAATAACGTGAATCGGCTTTTCGTGATAGCCCATGCAATTAGTTTCGTCAGCTTGCTCAGGATATCCTGATCATTATTAGGTTATCATTGATGATTAAATTCTTTACACATTTCATAATCAGAATTTACTTAGTCGAATATGTATGTGAAAAGCCAAGAACTGCCTTAAAAACCTTCCATAAAATTATACAGTAGAATCAAATCATTACATTTATATTCATTTCCATGAGAAAGTAATGCAGTCGCTATGACTACTACGCACCTCATTCTTTTTTCTGAATGATTTTCTGTGGAAGTATAACAAGTTTTCATTCCTATGCATTGTTTGTTAAAGGGATCCGGTAACTTTGTCTCAGATTCTGAAACAAAATTCTGGATTTAGCTCATGATGCAATGATAATTATAAACCTTTAGGTCAGTCAGGAACCCCATGACTTTTACAAGCCGATCGCTTGTCTGATTATCAAGATATTTATGATTGGAATTACAAATTTTGAAAACCGTTCGCCTGACGGTTTTCATAGAACTACAGTCTATGGGGGAAAACGAGTATGGTAAAACCGGTCACTCAAAGATTTTAACTTTTTTGAGGCACTTCTTGATCATTTTGAAGCGCAATTTTTTTTTAGGGCTTCAATATTACACCATATCACAGACACTGATAACACGTAGGGCCGTGTATCTCAGATTTAACATTGTTAAACGATCCCTTTAATACATTCTGGCGTTATTTATTATACAGAAAGCTAAGTAAATCATTAATACAAGTTGAAGAATAAACATCATTTATATGCAAACCTGATAAGTGATATTATTGATGTGCACCTATAATCAGGTTTCTAGAACAAATCAATATAAGGTATGTTTTAGGGGTAATTTTATTTTTATTTCCATGAACTATTCTAATTGTCAATCGATGGTGTCGAAGTCTGCCAATATTTGTTGGAAGGTAACCTTTCCGTTAAGAAAAATATAGTTGTGTGGGTTTTAATTCTAGGACTAGTTCGAGGGCTATTCCCCTATCAAACTCCAGACTCTTTTTAACTAAAAATGTTTCATACTATAGGGAAATGATGTCAACTGTATGAAAATATAGTTATACTCATTGTTATCTAGATGGTGGGATCTGGTTCAAACACAAGTAGAGCATTCGTGGGGGGGGGGGTAGCTTAGGTGTAAACCTGATATTGTCGCTTGTCTTCTCCACACAATGAATTGAATGATGTTGATGATGACAGACACAACTAACAGGATGGCTAAGACAGCGATGCCTGCAGAGGCACCAGAACTCAGACCATTGCAGTCACATGGAACAGGAGATGGCCCTGTTACGATTAGGAATATCAAGTAAACACAATTAATAAGATTTTTTGGTTTTGTTAATGCAAGAATAATCAAAACAGAGAGCAAACGAATCCTAACTGCCCCCTTCATTTCGTGATTGATGTTACTTCACTCATCATATAACCAGCAAAAGGTTCCCTATTCGTATTGAATCAAATAATAATTTAGCACCTATAATACATTGTACCCAATAGGGGGAAATCCCAAACCAAAACACACAATTGAAAAAGGAACTTCGGAGGGAAAAAGAATCAGACAAACTCGATAAGTAGTCTATGACTCGGTATTTGATAACAATTAAGCCTCGCCACGACATTATGTGTATTCTAGACTTTGGAAAATACACAAAAGAGTTTCCAAATCAATATTTACACACAGTGTATTCAGTTTTTCATGAATACATACATGTACGCACCGGCGTTGATAGAGCGAATCAACGAATTCGGGAAGGAAGCCTACAAAGGGGGGAAATGTATTGCATGCAGGTTAATATGCAGAATAGTTGTTTTTGACAACCTTCTCCTCCTTGGTCCCAAAATATATTTTAAAAAATAGGGTCTTGTATCATCTTGTTTCACAAAAATATTAAATCAGGTATTCATTGACATGTCTCATATCAAAAAACAAAAACAACATGTATTTCAAATAAAAACCATATTTAATTTACTTTTTACATCCTTTTTCCTTATTATTTCATTTAAACGAGGAAAGGAAAGAGAAGCAGCCTAGAATTGTGCATTTTAAGAATTTATCAAATTACATCATAATAGAATTCTGCTAATTAGATAATTGTTATTGCGGGTATACAAAACCGTAGGGGATACATATATTTCGAATGTAAGGAAACACATTCACCTTCTGAAGTTTCTGTAGTCGTTCCTTTAGTATAGAAGTATTCCGATACAGATAGAAGATAAATAAATTGTATATGGTTAACAAATGGGTTCAAACAAAATAATGGTTACATGATAAGTAAAATAAAATTAAAATATCTTGATATTGTTCTTATTTTCATTATTATTATTAGTATCTTAATGGTATTATTATCATTATCATTATTATTATTATTATTATTATCATTAAAATGACTACTCCTACCTACATCACCACTTCTACTCCTCTTCCTACTACTACTCCTCCTACTCCTGTTCCTCCTCTTTGTCCTACTAGTACTACTACCACAAATACCTACTAGTACTACTACTACTATTTATACTACTACTATTACTACTACTACTACTCCTCCTTCTACTACTACTACTACTACTACTACTACTACTAATACTACTACTACTGCTACTGCTACTACTACTACTACTACTACTATTACTACCACTACTACTATTACTAATACTACTACTATTCCTACTACTATTACTACTACTACTATCCATAATACTATTACTATTGATACTACTACCACAACTCCTACTACTACTACTATTACTACTACTACTACTACTACTACTACTACTACTACTACTACTACTACTACTACTGCTACTACTACTACCACCACCACTAATAATACTACTACTACTACTACTATTACTACACTTCGTATATCTGGGGTACAAGTTGTTTATGAAATACATAATACTCTTTCACACAATTCATGCACCTAAATGTTAGTATTTCAGTTACGACGTATACACACAATACAAAACGATAATCAACTAATCAAAGAAGTAATATCTGTTACATTACAAAACAATATTCCTATTCCTCTAACTAGAATAAAAACATTACCGCTTGTTGATTCTGGTGTACTTGCTGGAGTACTACCCTCACCACAACTCCTACTACTCCTACCACTACTACTACTAATACTACTACTACTACTACTACTACTACTACCACCACCACCACCAACACAATTCCTACTACTTCAAACACTTCTACTATTACTCCTCCTCCTCCTCCTACTACTACTTCTACTACTACTACTACTACTACTACTACTACTACTACTACTACTACTACCACTACTACAACTACTACTTTTACTACTACTACTACTACTACTACTACCACCACCACCACAATCACTACTTCTATTACTCCTCCTACTACTACTACTACTACTACTAATACGATTAATACTATTTCTACTACTACTACACGCAAAAAACTGAGGTGCTAAATGTTGGGTGCTGAGTGAGATTCTGCACTTGAAGTGCCAAAATCAGCACTTGACGGGTTAACTTTAACAAGGAAACCGAAACGTGCTGAATATTTGAGTGCAGAAAACGAGTGCTATAACAATATGCAGCACTTAACATCGAGTGCTGACTGCATAACCTGATCTGATTGGTCGGTTAGTATAATAGCTGTTACCTTGTGAATATTTGTTTTTGAATCAAATTCAGCTAAGAGATTCTTACATTCTTCATTCTCCAGGTCAATACCCAAGGCCTCAAAAGTCTGAATAACTTTGCTCCTTAAACTGTCAACAACATCAGTATTCAAAGCTGTTGCAGCAGATAACACTCTGTTTGTCATAGCATGGACCCTACCACAAAGCATGGGTCATGTTGGTGTTTGATAAAAGAGAACCAATGAAAAATGCAGCTGGTCTCACTATGAACATGACAGACAATGAAAGCGGACAAAATATACAGTTCCTCAGGTAGACAAAGGAACATCCCTTGACTGCTATTATGTAAAATGTGTAGAACAGGTGAATATGCATGTGACACCTGTTCTACACATTTTTACATAATAGCAGTGAAGGGATGTTCCTTTGTCTACCTAAGGAACTGTATATTTTGTCCGCTTTCATTGTCTGTCATATTCATAGTGTCTTGTACTGTCATTATGCATTGCTCCATCTTGTTCTTGTAGTAGGCCTATCCTATCATCATCATCATCAAATGCATCATCTGCTGCAGGATTATGCACTTCACCAACAGCAACACCCAAATCAGCATCAACTAGACCCTCCATACCCTGTACAACTTCAGGTTCAGGTTCTTCTTGTGGATGTTGGTTTAATATGTTTCCTGTAAGAGTTGAAAGTGGTAAATGACGAAGGACATCCACCTTGACCACATACCAAATGTAGATGGGGCATGTCAAACAACGCATGAGTTAGCACTTTTTGCACAAGGGCTATTCTGCTAGCACCCAAAAGAGAGCAAAACTTGGCACTTTAAGTGCACAACAGTCAGCTCCTTTGGGTGCTAGCAAAGTAGCCCGGGTGCAAGTGCTAACTCAGCACTTCGAGTGCAGTCACTATGCGAGCTCCTAAAAAGTGCTAAAATTGAATCTTTAAGTGCTAAATTTAGCACAACAGTCAGCTCCTTTGGGTGCTAGCAAAGTAGCCCGGGTGCAAGTGCTAACTCAGCACTTCGAGTGCAGTCACTATGCGAGCTCCTAAAAAGTGCTAAAATTGAATCTTTAAGTGCTAAATTGAGCACTTTTTTTTTTGGAGTGTACTACTACTACTACTACTACTTCTACTACTACCACTACTACTACTACTTCTACTACTACTACTACTCTCACTACTACTACTACAACTACTACTACTACTACTACTACCACCACCACCACCACCACAATCACTACTTCTATTACTCCTCCTACTACTACTACTACTACTACTACGACTAATACTATTTCTACTACTACTACTACTACTACTTCTACTACTACCACTACTACTACTACTTCTACTACTACTACTACTCTCACTACTACTACTACTACTACTACTACTACTCTCACTACTACTTCTACTACTACTACTACTACTACTACTACTACTACTACCCCCACCACAACTCCTACTACTCCTACTACTACCACTACTACTACTACTACAACACCCACCACAACTGCTACTACTCCTACTACTACAACTACTACTACTACTACTACAACTACTACTTCTACCACTACTACTACTAGTAGTACCACTACTACTACTACTACTACTTCAAACACTACTACTATTACTCCTCCTTCTACTACTACTACTACTACTACTACTACTACAGTACTAACACTATATTAACACTTCTCCTACCATCGCTTCTATTACTACACTTCTTATTTCTGGGGTACAAATAGTAGTTTATAATACTCTTTCACACCATTCATGCACCTAAATGTTAGCATTTCGGTTAGGACTTATACTCACAATACAAAACGACAATACAGTAATAAAAAAAGTTATATCTGTTACACACAAATATATATATTATATTCCTCTAAATAAAAAGACAGAATTACCACTTGGGGGTTCTGTTGTACTTGCTGGAGTACTAGGTGTAGATTCTCCTAAGTGAAAGAGGTGTAATACTTTGGTTGTTTTTAGTTCTAAATGAGATTGAATATCATTATTTAGAATTAAAAAGGGGCAAATTTATTAGATAAGGGTAAAATGACTATTTGCGTGCATAAAGACAGACCATGAAAATCAAGTTGATATAAGTTGTCATTTACAAGATACAAGTTGGAACTTGCTGCACTATTTCCCTTTTGAAAAGTGATTATTGCTGTAATGAAACCTTTAATTGTTTTATCACTTAAAGTGTAATACATTAATACAGACTAAATGGATTTAACAAATTTACGGTGTACCATGGTAGCAAATGCACCTCTTATGACACATCATTCCCTAAGAAACAACTCATGGAAAAAGGGAAAAGAAAAACATGAGAAAAAGAAAAAGGTCCACCTATCACACCATCTACAAGCAGAATGACTTACCGATTGGGTCATATCTTGTTGTTGTTGTTGTATTTCCAAGATAATTCCCTGCTACACATTTGAACTCCGTATAGAGGTCTAATTCTGATTCTAGAGCATCCACGAAGTTTTCTCCCGTTGAAGATTGATGTATCAGAATACCATTAGAGAATATGTAGTAGTTCCTTATGCGTGGATTAGGTTGGTTCGCATCAGAAATGTCACATAATACTCTGAGGCCTGGATCAAGGAACTGGAATCGCACCGTTAAAATATCAGCACAGGGGGCACCTGAATTTAATTAAACATGGAATATTAAAATATGCACTGATCTAATAACTATAATCATTAACAATCATTAAGAAGATGTATCCATTTGGAGAGCGATTGTAAAAAAAATCAAATATAAATTTGCTCCTTCACAATACACAACTTCGCATAACTACATGTAAGATGGAGAAGAAAAGAACATCCAAAATCAAAATGAGAATAGTTCACCGAAAATTCATACTTGAGCCAACAATGTATCTTTCAGCTTGCTGCCAGCAATGTCCAATGTTATCACCGCATTTGTAGGGATATATATTTGAAGATGGGGAAGGAGAGGGTAGAGTAGTGAAGGAAATACCTCTGAACTTGTACAATCAAAGTACATAATCTGTTGCACGGTAATTGGCTATTAAAAATAAAGCTTCCTAAATGGACGAGTACTTATCCTAAGAGGAAGTATTGACATTGTCTGTGTGGAGTCAGAAATGTCTTACCTTATATCATTTTACATCGAATGCACATCCTTCTGGCCCCAGAGAGGCAATATTGGTATGTAAAAGTAATCGTTTCTATGACTTACTACAAACAATTTAGCTATAATATTATTGATCTCATTCCTTTATAAATATATAATTTATTATTATGTTCAGTACAAAGGTTCGATTATGCAAAGTGTAAAAAAAGAGTGTAAAGTCGCTAAACTTACTATGTATAGGAAGAATAGTTGTTTCTTCTCCATTGAGGTCAGGTACTAGATGACCGCTGATGTCACATTTCAATGTTTGACCATTATTGTTCTGACTGGTAGCTTGAAATGTGCAGACACTCTCCTTACTAGATAGACCTGATCCAGCTGGAATGGGCGTTTCTACTGTATCATTACAAGGTGAAGGACCATCACCTAACATCCATGCGATTGTTTCATTTGGTCTACCTCCTACAGCTTCACATGTTGCTTCGTACATGTCAATGGTGCCGTTTATTGTACTTTCTACCTCAAGTGTCCGTGCCGATTCGACTGCAAATCAAAAGAATTAACACATATTAAAGGTGTTATAAGTAACAAATTTGGAACATTCAAGTGTGACAATGAGATTTAAAGGCATTAACCTTTCATTGAATTGTGTTAATAAATCTGACTTAAAAATGCTACAAAACAGGTGAAGATGTGCACCCCATCCCCATGTGTACTTCAGGGTAAATTACTCCCCCCCCCCCCCCCCCCTCTAACCCATTGTGTAATGACAACTTCGGTAATAATAAAACATATGTATTGATCTAGCCATCTCTTAACATGTAGACATGCTTAGGCCTTTCTAGACTATTCCCCTGGGAGACACTTTTGCGAGTTCTGAATGACAAGACATTTTCACGGCAAGAATTTGTTTGCGCATTGCAGACTTTTAGTCTTAGATTTACTGGGATTCAACTAATTTCCAACATGAAACTTTCCCGAAATGAACCACTCATGAAATTCACAAACATTTCATCATAATATCATGCACAAGAATGGTTTCTGGTTTTAAGTAGTTTCGCATAGTTGGTACGTAACGCAACATATCCATGCTGTGTGTAAGTACTGTGACTGAACAACTTTGGTATAGAAGTATACAAGTATACAAGTATGCCCTTTGTAAAGAGATATGTAGGATCTCAAAAATATTGATAATCTTACTTTTTTTCCTCTTGATTACGGGCCTAAAATAATAACATATCTCAAAATGGATCACCAAGTATGTGGATTTTTTTTAAATACTAATATGGCTGTCGCTGCTAACAATCTGCTTTGCTGATGGTTACATACACGTACATGTACATATCACACATGTAGGCCTTCAATGTATATGTTCCTTTTCTTTTGTGCCTGATTGAGAAACGAATGCGGCCAAGTAGTTCCTGCACATGAATTATGTATTAGTCATTGACATTTGTACATGTACAGGGATGTAGCCAAAAACTCGGAATGAAGAGTGACATACATCGCAGAGACAGAAAATAGGATTTTATTATCATGGCATACATTATACACTCCAAATTAAACTAACAGCTGTTTTCTTATAACTCTTATACCATGGAAACTACATTAACATTCAGTAAAACAGATTGTTATAAGAATTCTATGACCCACCTTCTACCGTAAGTTCTGCGTTATCAAAGTTTCCTGGTCCTTCAGTACATCTATATTGTCCTTCATCTTCAATCCGAGTGTTAGTGATTGTCATAGTGGATGTATCCCCATTTTCTGCTACATTAAAATTGACATATTTTGGATTTACCAAGGGATCGTAAGCCACTTCCCCGGCAAGGAAAATATTAGAACCAGAAGCCACCTCTGAAAAGTCTTGCCATAAAAACACGTATGGTGATGGTCCTCCAGTACAGATGTAAACTGTATCACTCTCTTGCTCTATTGCAGGAGGACCTGTCAGAGTCACAGATTGGCCGTTTGAGAATTTTGTGATCTGAAGAAATAAAGATAGGTAATTGAACTATTCGTTACAAAAGGGGCGATTTAAAGCAGCAAACCAGTTTCACATGCAGGTTTCGGAAAGCGAAGAAGGTTTAAAATTATGCCCCTTCTGAATTCATAATTTCTTTGGAAACTCCTACTATTAAATGACGTTACCAGAACGGTGTCACATTTCATTGTTCATAAAAATGGAATTTCCGTTATAACTATCAACTCTTGCATAGATGATGTGAGCTGAAATGACTATTTTCCCTTCAAATCACGTTAATCAGGTGGGCTGTATCTAATACAGACCACCTTATATTTTTGTTAAAATTGCCTTTATTATTATTAGGTGGTCTGTCTTCGACAGACTACCTATTGTTTTCGTCAGAATTTTCTTTCTTTATTTCTTTATTTGTATTTCTTCCACTTTTTTGTTCACAGGATAACTCAAGATCCGTCCGGTCAATTTCTTTCAATTTTGGCACAGTCATAGGTCATTGTCATGAGACGTGACAGTAACCTTTTCAAGGTCATCAAGTCTTCATGACGTCATCCAGGCGCCATTTTGTGTTTTTTTTGGAAAATCTCAAATGATCATAACTTCATAACTGAAAGTCATTTCTCATTCATATTTACCATGATCAAGGTCAATATCAGTCCGGTCAATTTCAGGTCAAAAACTGCGCGCGTGCGCGTACGTCCGCGCGTCCGTGCGCGCGCAAATTTCAAAATACTCCAAATCGCCTCAAATTCATTTTGGATACGTTTCAGGCCATTTTAAGCATTTCATAAAAATCACGCAAAACACGCATTTTTGCGCGTTTTCGTTCGTAGCGGCCAAACGAAGCATAATTTTCCAGTACGTCCTTTTGACGAGGGTATTCCTTATCTTTTTCCGAACAATTTGATACCATGTTTAGCTTTTCATGACCATTATTGACGGAATTAGCGTCCGTTTAAAATACATGTCCGTACGTGCGTGATCTTGTAATACATAGCATATATGGGCAAAAACATGCCTATACAAAATCCATTATAGCTCTTTAGGAAGTCCACAAAACCCCCAATTTTTTCTCATATTTGGATAGAATATGAGTTGGAAATATGATTTTAGGTCTCATTTGGCCATTATATATATCGTGACATCATCATAATGGCCTTGGAACTCAAAAAACGAATTTGCATATGATGACGTCATCATATATATAGAAAATTGATTGTATCTCTGTAAATTTTAAATAATTTACTTCCAAACTTAGATATGTTGTAGCTGAGACAATTCTCTACAAGATCAGTGTCCATTGTTTTTCATTTTGATGACGTCATCATGGTGAAAATTTCAATTGAAGGCGACATGTCAGAATTTTCTTCATTTGCGTGTATTGTCTATGGAAGGTGAATTTCGTTCACATCGTGAATCTACATGGCATTAATCTTTGAGCACTATCTCGCTTATTCGTGCTCTATTTCATCCCAAATTTTGGTATGTTATAGCTGAGACCATGGGCTAAAAAAAACGGTGTACTTTGTTTTTTGATCAGACGTTGGGATCATGTCGGAATTTTCAATTGAAAGTTGAAATTGCACATTTTCTAGAACTTTGAAGGATTTTCTTTATTATTATTAGGTGGTCTGTCTTCGACAGACTACCTATTGTTTTCGTCAGAATTTTCTTTCTTTATTTCTTTATTAGGTGGTCTGTTATCAACAGACCACCTATTGTTTTCGTCAGAATTTTCTTTCTTTATTTATTTATTTATTTAGGTGGTCTGTCGTTTTCGACAGATCACCTATTGTTTTCGTCAGAATTTTCTTTCTTTATTTATTTATTTATTATTATTATTAGGTGGTCTGTTGAAAACAGATCACCTATTGTTTTCGTCAGAATTTTCTTTCTTTATTATTATTATTATTATTATTTATTTTTATTTCTCCCCGTTTTTTGTTCATCGGTTAACTCAAGATCGGTTGTGTTAATTTCTTTCAATTTTGACACAGTCATAGGTCATTGTCATGAGACGTGACAGTAACCTTTTCAAGGTCATCAAGTCATCGTGACGTCATCCAGGCGCCATTTTGTGAAATCACGTTATCCATCATATTTTCATGATGCATAAGCAAAGGTCATTCATATTCATATCACATATACTTCAAGTCAAGGGTCAACAAGTCATGTCATCAAAGGTCACATAAAGGTCATGACGCGCACGTACGCGCGCGTCAAAATTTTAAAATGCTCAAAATCACTTAACTATTAAACGAGAGTACGAATCAGGTCATTTTAAGCATTTCAAAATTTTCCGTCCGTACGTGTCCCCGCGCGCGTTGCGCGCGCTCATGACGCGCGGAAAAAGTCAAATTCAAAATGTTTACATGATTTGGATTCCTCTTAACGTAATTGACAAGTTACATTGATTTCAGTCACTCTTCATATTTCATAAGGCCGTGAGCGTGCGTCAAAGTTCAAAATCCGCGCGTGCTGCTATAGGCAATATAATGCAAATTTCATCAAAAACATGCCATTTTAAAAATCGAAATAGCTCTTCAGATAGTCCATCGACCCCCAATTTTTATATCATGGTTGGAAAAAGCATGAGTTGTAGATATGATTTCATACCACCCTGACTCGTACAAAGTGAAACAAAGTCATCATATTGGCATCTAAACTCAAACAAATGTTTTTTGTTGATGACGTCATTTTTGTCTTTGTTTAATTGAGATTATCTCACTTATCTGTGATCGATTTTCTCCCAGATTTTGATATGTTGTAGCTGAGATAATTCTCTATCAGAAATATGTCATTTATTTTTCATTTATCTGACGTTATCATAGTAAAATATTCGATTAAAGGCGACAATGCATAATTTGTCATATTTGCGTGTTATGTCTATGGAGGTCACTTTTTTCAAAACATGCATCTGCATGACAATGTGTTTTGACCAGTATCTCCGTTATTATTCAACAGCTTTCTCCCAAATTTTAGTATGTTGTAGCTGAGACTATTTGCTATCTAAATATTTCCTCATTTTTTTCAATCAGATGTCAGGATCATGTTCATACTCATCATCGTCATCATCATCATCAATATCATCATTATCATCATCAATGTCACCACCATCATCATCATCATGGTCTGAAGATGATGATCATCAACATCACCATGATCATGATCATTATCATCATCATCATCATCATCATGGTCTGAAGATGATGATCATCAACATCACCATGATCATGATCATTATCATCATCATCATTAACATTATCGTTTTTATCATCATATAACATTTTCATTATTATGATCATCATCACCTTTACTATCATGATCATCATCATGTTTATCATGATCATCATTGTTTACATGTCTATATAACGTCTCCCATTCTCAAATCTATCATAAGACTTAGACAGACCACCTTATTCGTCTTCGTGACGAATTAAATTTCTAGTTATTATTTATTTTTATTTCTCCCCGTTTTTTGTTCATCGGTTAACTCAAGATCGGTTGTGTTAATTTCTTTCAATTTTGACACAGTCATAGGTCATTGTCATGAGACGTGACAGTAACCTTTTCAAGGTCATCAGGTCATCGTGACGTCATCCAGGCGCCATTTTGTGAAATCACGTTATCCATCATATCTTCATGATGCATCAACAAAGGTCATTCATATTCATATCACATATACTTCAGGTCAAGGGTCAACAAGTCATGTCATCAAAGGTCACATAAAGGTCATGACGCGCGCGTATGTGCGCGTCAAAATTTAAAATGCTCAAAATCACTTAACTACTGAAGGAGAGTACGAATCAGGTCATTTTAAGCATTTCGAAATTTTCCGTCCGTACATGTCCCCGCGCGCGTTGCGCGCGCTCATGACGCGCGGAAAAAGTCAAATTCAAAATGTTTACATGATTTGGATTCCTCTTACCGTAAATGACAATTTACATTAATTTCAGTCACTCTTGACCTTTCATAAGGCCGTGAGCGTGCGTCAAAGTTCAAATTCCGCGCGTGCTGCTATGGGCAATATGATGTAAATTTGATCAAAAACATGCTACTTTATAAATCGAAATAGCTCTTCAGATAGTCCGTCGACCCCCAATTTTTATATCATGGTTGGAAAAAGCATGAGTTGGAGATATGATTTCATACCACCCTGACTCGTACAAAGTGAAACAAAATCTTTATATTTGCATCTAAACTAAAGAAAATGTATTTTGTTGATGACGTCATTTTTGTCTTTGTTTAATTGAGATTATCTCGCTTATCAGTGATCGATTTTCTCCCAGATTTTGATATGTTGTAGCTGAGATAATTCTCTATCAGAAATATGTCATTTATTTTTCATTTATCTGACGTTATCATAGTAAAATATTCGATTAAAGGCGACAATGCATAATTTGTCATATTTGCGTGTTATGTCTATGGAGGTCACTTTTTTCAAAACATGCATCTGCATGACAATGTGTTTTGACCAGTATCTCCGTTATTATTCAACAGCTTTCTCCCAAATTTTAGTATGTTGTAGCTGAGACTATTTGCTATCTAAATATTTCCTCATTTTTTTCAATCAGATGTCAGGATCATGTTCATACTCATCATCGTCATCATCATCATCAATATCATCATTATCATCATCAATGTCACCACCATCATCATCATCATGGTCTGAAGATGATGATCATCAACATCACCATGATCATGATCATTATCATCATCATCATCATCATCATGGTCTGAAGATGATGATCATCAACATCACCATG